GAAATTGATTCGGATACATTTATACAGGATCTTACTTATAATACTTTTGAAATTTGATCGAGACTGAAATTAATTATATTCCGTTCAATATCAATTGATTTCGAGAATTTAGGAGAGAAAGATAATTTTACCAAAGTGATGAAACGCGACAAATTTTTTTTTTTTCATTTTCTTCGTTTTTAAACGTCGTTTCAAACGATTGAATGAGAAACTCACTTCGTTACAACACGTCGACATTAAAATTTTTCTTACGTCACAAACTACCTACTACTCGCCATTCTAGAAGAAGTTGGCCCTAAAAGTGGGACGAAGTCATCAAAATTAATAGAAAATATCTCAAGGATATAAAAGTTACACGATTTCTTCTTCTTCTTCGTAAATTAACTTCACCCTTTAAAAGATATCGTTAAAAGAATCAATCCCTCCAACACAAACATCTACCCTACTCCTTCATACTCATTCCTTCCTCCAACGAGGATGAATAACGATGAAAATCGGCAAAAAGCCAGCGGGCAAAATACACTATGCGTGAATGTAACCACGTAGCTACGCGATAGAACGCTTCTCACGGTATCTAGTGGTCGAGGGCTCGGAGACGCGCATTTACGCCGCAAATGGAAATCCAAGAAAGCGGCGGCCCGATTCAAAGCCAGCCCTGTTTTTTTCCCCCCCTCTCCTCTCCTCTCCTTTCGTCGTCCCCCGAAGAAGAAGTCCGCGAACCGTGAGATGCATTCAACGTATCCCGCGGGGACTTTCCCTAAGCTAATGCGAGATGAAATTACAGCCCCTCCCTCCCTCCCCCGGGGTTCCGGTCGACAGTCACGCCGTCTACTCGAAAGACACTGGCGGCGCTGCCCCTTCCCTCCCCACCCCTTCCCTGCCAGCTTCTCTTTCAACCTTTTCTACCTTTGCTTTCTTCTTTTTTTTTTTTTTTTTTTTTTTTTCGTCCTCGTGGTCCTTCTTCTCTCCTCCCCTCCTTTCCTCCAATGCTCCTCGTACACACGAGGAGGGGGAGGGGGAGGGATTCGTTTCAACTCGTTTGGTCGCTCCGAGCGAGCGTTTACCCTTTACAAAAAGCTGCCCTTAATCTTCGACGGAACCTCCTCCGCTCTCCTCCACCCCCTCCGCCGGGAGTTTCAAAGAGGAATTTTCCAGTTATTGGAGGAGGATATTTCTCCTCGCTTTAACGAGATAACTTGTACTCCCGCGATCAAAGATTGACAGTGGCTCCTCGAGAATCGTTCGATGGTTCTTCACGATTCTTCGAATATGGAAACGAGAAGGTTAAAGGGAAGATTGGAGATCTTTTCTCCTCGCCCCCTTTTTGGGGGAGGGGGGTATAATGTCGCGTCTCTCGTACAGTGTATAGGCAGGCTGTTCTATTTCGCGATCAATCATGGGGCTCGTCCCTCGTCTCTCGTTGTTTCTCGTTGAGAGGATATTTCATATCGCGTGTGGGGCGGAGATATATCATTTAAATATGATGAATGAACGGATCAACGATCGACAAGAGGATCACGTGGGGCGTGAACCAATGAAAAAAATCGATTAGCATTGAGTAATTTTGCACGATGCATAGAGAGAGAGGGGAGGAGAGAAAAACGAACTCCTCGATCGAATCCTCGCTGTTCGTAAACTGTTCCTTACTTTTATGGAAGGAGAAGATAATGGCTGTTCCAAGTTTTCCAACGAAAACGTGGCGCGTGTCTTTTCATATATATATATATACGTATAGATCGAGGTATGAAAAAATATTAATAGCATTCTAAAAGTTCGTAAGTTGGTGGAAAAGCGAATGGATTATTAATGATAGAACGAGAAACGGGGGACTTATTGTAGCTTTGCATTGAATAGGGTGAAAAAAGGAGGTTGGCTATTACTCGACGTCATTTACATTTATTCGAGGTAAAAATCCTTTCTTCGTCACGGCACCGTGCAAAGAACAATCAAACGTAATTGACGGTACGTTAATTACAAAAATAAATTACACGGTGCAGGGGAGGGGGGTAGAGGGAGGATTTAACGATATTCAGAAATGCCCTGGCGAATAATAGCGGAACAACAACGGTGAATAAATTAAGAACATCAAAGAAGCGATATACGTAAATTTTTGCACATACCGGAATTCGAATAATGTTCATTAAATGAGAATATATATATATATATAAAATGGGTGGCGTAATTTACACGGGGGTTATCTCCAATTAAAATTTACCAATTTTGCTGCAGATATAATATAATATAGAATGATCAATAGCGTTTTTAACAATCAAGATTTGAATAAAATTTTCTTTGATGTTTCTTAGTTAATATCATTCTGACAAGATATAATCTTGATCTAAATAGAGCTAGGAAGAATGAAATGAACTACGATTTAAAAACGTAAAATAATATTTCTTTAAAGAAAGCTTAAATATAGACGAAACTATCTTAAATCATTCCTTAAATATCACAAGAAGTTCCTTACTTTGAATATTCTTGTTGAAAAACGATACACGGATATGCGTTCTATCACATCGAATAAAAATGATACGGACAAGGAAAAAAAAGAAAAATGACATTAATATAATGAAGAGATAAAAGGGAATAAAAATGTGTAGTAATAACGATGGAAAATTCTTGCACAGCGGAATGCACCCTCATTAACGAACCGAAATGCTGGATTAAACGTTATCCGCATTTTCTACATTCTCACCGATTTAAATTCCCCCCCATTATATCGTACAAGCATCTATCCATCTATTCTCATAACCATTCCACTAATATTAATTATAACTAGCTGCGATTAATACCGACATCAGTTTCACTCTTGCAAACAACGGTTGCGGGGTAAGTTTCTCCGCTATACATCTCCCCTCGCCCCCATCCCCATCCCACTTGTAATCGAGCTTCTCACTGAAGCAAACTCATCTATCACAACAATAAAGTTCCCTGGCGATCAGTTTGGCATTTCTCGATCTCGAGATTAACGCGTGTCGTTCTCCCTCGGTGGCGCAAAGCCTCGATTATTACCGCCCGGCCTCGATAGCTAAGGTTCACTTGCTAATACGCGCGTCGAGGAGTTTCAAGCAGCGTCGGCAGTAAAGAGAGTTGCCACCGTGCGCCCTGCACGCTCGCTCGAGTTAAGTCACTCTGCAAAGTTTGCCCGAGAGAGGTATACGGAAGGCCCGTTAATGTGTCGTAAATCGTTGCTCTCGCTCCGTGCACGAGTCAACCGCAGAGATTACACTCGACCGAGGCAGTCAAAAGTGAACTCTCTCTCTCTCTCTCTTTCTCTTTCTCTTTCTCTCTCTCTCTCTCTCTGCAGCTTAGTCAAGTATCCGGTCTTAACAATGTACCAAGGATCGTACTGGCCTCGAGTATCTGTACCGTGAAAAGCGAGCCAAGCTTTAGCTCGTTTACGTGACAGAACGAGACCAGGCAGATGGAGAATTGTCACGGTTGGGAGTCGTCTAAAAAGGCGAGGCAGAGGCCACGGAATCAAATGAGTTTACACAACGACGACAACAGAGTTTCGTGAGTGTAATCAAGCCGGATTGGGATAGGGAAGCGGTGAAAAGGGGATAACCTTCTCTTCTTAGGTTGCGATTTGAATTTCCACCCAAAGGCAAACGAGCCAACACCCACCGGATCCTGGGGATCGTCCGTCGAACGTCGATAGAGGAGATGCGATAAATTTCGACGCAATAGCTTCTTAATTACAGAGAGAGAAAGAGAGAGAGAGAGAAGGAGGAGGAGATTCGTTAGAATTTGTCTACTAGATATTTTACTTTTGAGAAAGAGAGAAGATAAAGGGGTAGAAAGGGAAAGAAAGAGAGAGAGAGAGAGACGAAGAGAGAGACCAGCCAGCACAATATCGAGCCACGACAAAGGGCACAGTTACGCGTAGAAATCGTCCCAAAGAGAAATGAAATCGATTTGCATTTCCAAAGAAGTCTGATTGTACCGGTGCCCAGGATACATCAGAATTTCCTTTGTCAATTTCGAAGTCATTACTCGGTCGTTGCACTTACTAGTATGAAATCATCAAGCAATTTCACGTCGCGGATTTAATGGTAATTTCAAAGTATTATATACCCGGTTATGTTACTCTTGACAATGTATTGTCTGAAATAAAAGGTGAAAAACAATCGCGGACATGGCAGACTGCACTTGCGTATTATCACGAGAAAGTTCGTAGAACGAACCATCTGACTCGATATCTTCAGGTCTCTTATTTCTGTAATTCTCACGGGAATAATGTCGCTCGAGGATTCTTCTATTCTACGACACGAATAAATTCTCGTAAAATCCTATGTTACGAATATGTAATGCTTCCCTCGAAATTTCGCCTCAAAATCTATAACCTTCTGATGGAAATTTGTAAAAAGTATATTGAACGTATTCTCCTTTAGGATAAAGGATAATTTCGGTGAATCGGTTGGGACAATAATGAAAACTACAAAAAACCGCTACCTTTCAACATTGTTCCTTATATAACTCCTTTGCACGCTCAGTTTCAGAAAGAAAAAATATTTCTTTGCTCAGTCGAGCTTTGCAACCCGGTGTACATTCCTTTGTCTCTATCTCACGCTTCCGGCGTAACGATAAAAAAAGGATTTCCGCAATGGCACTGGCAAATAGTGCCAACAGTCATCACGAAACATATTTTTCCCCTAGTCTATTTTCGCGCTCGTTGTCACTTTGTCGTTTCTTTTAAACCACCAGCTGACCGAGCGCACCGTAAGAAATGACACGTCCTGCTTGGCGAAATGCCGGACAATGTGGTAACTAAAAAGTTACGACACACGATGATGTTGAATCCGATGTACGGGAGGGGAATGATAATCCTGTCGTTTTGTCACATTACATCCGATTACGCGCATCCCACGCATCAACGTACATTCGTACATCAAGCGTCATTATTCATGTATTCCGTTACTCCATATTTCGGCCCGGTATACGAACAATCGCAGTGACGCGATCGTAGAAACACGATTATTAAAGTTGCTACAGCTTACCTGATATCATGAAGAAAGCGAAAATCGCTTTTAGCCACAGGTGGCGAGTCATCTCGAATCCGTGGATAACGTCGTTCTTCCTCTCGATCACTGGTCTTTCGTTCACACAATAGCACACCACACGCGATACTTTTCGCGCTATTTACGAAAACATGGAGGGCATTGAAATCTTTGACAATGCATCGATGATAACTGACTTTCACCGGTCTCACGAAATAGTCATGGTGCACGATGAACGCCACTCTTTCCCGAACCAAACGTCACTACACGTTGTCCCCGTATGAAACGTCAAACTCACTATGCGCAGCGTGGATACCGACTGATCCGCGAAACCGTTAGACGATGCGGTGGTGGCGACAGCGGCGATTCGAATCGCGAACCGCGAGACGAAGGACTCGCTTAATTTTTCCTTCACGTGGCCGCGACACGCAATCTTCACTTCTTCGAACCGTAACGCGCGAACTATTAAGACGATCGATGCCGTATTGGTCGAACGTTATCGATCACCAAGTGTAGAGCAACGCCACAAGCACTAGAAGAGATTTTAAGCACTGTTGACAGGGTAATTGCACGTATATCTGCACTGGATTGCGACAGACGAGACTGAGCGTCGCCGCGCGAAGCTGTTCCGTCGCGAGCCGCGCGTGCGCAGACCGCCCTTCCATCCCCACCACTGTGCTTCGCCCGAACTATCCGAAAGAATGCGCCTCTCTCTCCCTCCTCGTTGCTTCTCACTCGCACTCATTGCCACTCGCCCTCGCAGTACGCACACGATCAACGGGTCGCGCCGTGATCTTATTCCACACCTCCTTTCGGGGTGAGACGAGAACACGAAAGAACGAGAAGGAAGAAGAGAGTCCAAGCCCTCTGGATTCAATTTGCCGGCCGAAACTTTTTGTTGAATAAGGTTTGTTACGTATCATCATTCAGTCGCATTAAGGCCATTGTCGAGCCTCTTGTCTCGATCTTATATATTTTCCAATGTCTGCGCGTCTCCACTGGAACAGACACGCGATAAACCACAGACACGGTATATATCCATGTGCAGTGGATATCTCCCTGACGTGCATTACACTCTTGTTCGTCTCCCCATCGCACGATCTGTCCGCAGGCGCCAGGGTGTCGAACTGTGTAACAACATATGCTGATCTCTTGTTTGGAGGTACATCGACAACGCGATTCCGGAGTTTCCGTGAAAGTTCGAGAGGAGTTCGATCTGAACATCGATTGCAACACCTAGAAAATTTAAATGCTCGATGAGTAACGGATTCACGACTATGTATATTCTATCTGTTCGTCGATTATGTACGATTTACGGATCGTGAAATTTATAGGCAAATGAAATAACCACGCGGGATTTTTTTCACTACTTTAGGCGCCTCGTTTGAAATCTCTCTCAACTATTTCTTCAATTTTTCAACGATGTACAATTTGATCTTGTTTTTTAATTAATTATACTTTGTAAAATCACATTGTGCAAGCAATCTGAATACTGCAAGTTCTGTTGTAAAAAGAAATATGGTAAATGTGCTTTTATTAATTACGAAAAGTTATACTTAGCTTTTCTACATTTTCTGCTATATTTAATTATTCAATAGAAACTTTGTTTTCAATTATTTCTTCATACGCAATTTCATTTTTCACAAAGGAAGATCATTCGAAGGAAACACAATATATATCTATTTATTCAATATTTTTTACCATTTTCAATATCACGCAATACAAAATTACACATTTACGAATAAAAATTAAATATATAAAATTACACGAAATAATATTTTTATAATAATTCATATTTGTATTTTTATGAAACATATTTTCAAACATATTTTCTTCGTCAACATTCAACAATTTAAAATCTGTAATCAATAATATCCCAATTAATTCTACAAATTATAATTGCCTCGCACTCTCTTGCTCTAAAACGTATTTCGAAAACATCAAACGAGAGAATAATTATCAAAATGAGATACCCAACGGCTAAGAGATCTATCTCTCCCAATTATCACATCAAAGGATCTAATAAACTGTTATATTTCGCGCGTCTTGCGCGAACAAAGAATTTTCAGCAAACAATTTCCCGGTTAAATACGCACGCATTCATTAGGAATATAGCAAAAAAGGCGAGCAAGCGCAACTTTTACGAGGGCGCATCCGCGATCCCAATTTATCTTTTCCCGGCCCGTTCTTTCGCCTCACCCTTTGTCGCCTTTCTTTCTTTCCTTTTCCGCCTCTTCCTTTTTCGTGTCTCGTGAATCTTGACCCCGGAAGTGCCTGGAAGGGAAAGGGGAGGAAGAGGGTGCTGGAACCGGGCAAAAGGCAGCAAGACCCCAGCTTGAAATATTACGAAGACATCATTCGTTACCGCTGCGTCGTTTATCCGTATCGTCGTTCCGCCTCGAACGTATAAAACTGCCCTCCATCCTCATTCATGGTGGTTCAACTTGGATCCCTACGTCTACGAACCCGGGATTCAGAAGATCGCACTTTAATAGGACTTACCAGGAAGAAAGAAAGAAAACAGAATCTTTTCCTTTTTTCTCTTTTGCGAAGGATCCTCCGGAATTAGTTTCAGGAAGACAGGAAGCAAATGCTTGTGTGAATTATCGCGCGTTACTTGTTTCTTCTTATCACGTATCGTACTCATTTTTTCCAGTTCCAAAGATATATTGATTTACAGTAATAATAATATAAGATTATAGTATTACGATTTTATTTAATTTTAGTTAAAGACGAATTGATGATAAGAAACACATTGTCTACTCCTTTGTGGAATTAATCGATTTAATTGATCGAAGCTTAGCAGCTTTTTTAATCTAACGATCGAATAATTTATTCACAATGCAATGTTCATCGTAATATAATAGATTGATCAGGAGAATTATCTTCATTAATATATGATACATCTTTCAAATTAATTTTATGATAAAACATGTAGTAATCTAGAAATAAAATTATTACGAATATCTTTTTATACGTAATTTCGAAATTAAAATATATTCATGAAAAATAAGGTAGCCGTATGTTATATCTACACGTACCTGTCTGCCGATGGTCCACCAACCTCGAAAACGTGTATCCACGACGCTATGTGTACTCTCAAAAACGTGTAACTTATATAAACGTCTACGAGCAAAAGCACGACCCATCGTGAAGAGTATCGAGGATGAAGGCGGGCAAAAAGAGGAAAGATATGTAAAAAGCCGTGGAGAAGATCGCCCGGCCAGAAACCACGACGCACCGTCACGCACTTTAGCAGCTGCCTAATTTTTCTCTTTCTACCCTTCATAACCCTTTTTCTTTTCGTATTATTTTCCATCTTCGTATTTTAGGCTACTATATAGATGCATCACTGTACCCCATTATGTATTCATCCATTTATATTCATTTAATATCCGTCATGTTTTAATGGAAATTATAATTTGTCGTCGTGTGTTACGAGAACGAAGTAAGAAACGAGATTAATGTATCGAGCAATGAAAGGACGATATTCGGAGGAATTGAAATTTGGTCGTTATTTATCTTGAATATCAAAAACTGTTACTTGTGTTTGTATAAGTTTATGATAACGTAAGAAATGAAATTCGAAAGAGATTGAGAAGTTTATAAGGAAAACAACCCCCTTGTTAGTTTTTTTTTTCATCAAAAAGAAAAAGAATGCAATACATTCAAATTTTCTCTATTAAAATATTCTTGATCTTTATTACGTATCCTTTAATGCTAAAGTAATTAACATATTTAGGAATATAACATTTGCATCGAAATAATAAGTAAATATATTATTATGCAATATCTAATAAATTTCAATATATTATATTGAAATCATTATAATATTCAGATAATAATATGCAGAACATTATATGTAAAAAAAAGTTCAAAATCTATTTGAACGAAACTTGAAAATGAAAAGTGCAAATGCCATTATCTCGAAGATTACGATAATCTATAATTAAAAAAAAAAAAAGAAAATTAATCAAATTCTATTAACAGAAAAAAATAATTAAAGTACTCACCTGTATATATAATAATCAGTATTTATCTTTCATTCAATTCTGAAATATTAATTAATAACAACACATTCGTGAAAATATACTTTTATCCAATAAACTCGTTCACCGCATTTTCCATTTTATTTCTAATCATTCTAACCATTGTGAGGGAGAAACAATAGGGAACCACGTTTGTTCATTGAATGTATTATCGAAAAACATCGATACACAAATATCCAACCGGTTTTTCATACACGTGTTTCTCCATAGAATTTCATCGTTCAATCGATAGGATGGAATCGTTAAAAAAAAAAAAAAAAAAAAAAAAAGAAGAAAAGAGAAAAAAAAATATGGCACATTTCATTTTTTTTCCAAACTATTCCAGATTCGTGAATTCGTGCCTCTCACCCTTGTTATTTCCACAATTTCATAGCATTCTCCATACGTTTATTGCACAATTTGTATATTTTTCCTGCTTCGAAACCATCAACACGAATGAAACATTTCGAGGGAAATCACGTGCGCGCATCTGCTTGGATATATTTCCTCTTAACACTTTGCTGACTGTATAGAAGAAGAAAGATAAACACTCCGTAGCTTCCCTTACTTGACACAGTGTACCGACGAGAGCCGGATATTTAAAACTGACGGAATAAAAAAGCACCAATTGTTACGTAACCGTGAAACTTTGGAGAGGGGGCGTTTTTTGCCCTTAGCCTTTGTCAGGATATGTATAACAAGATGTAGTACCATTTCAGAAAAGCGCAGGGATTATAATTCATGGCAAGACACTTGCTGCAAAAAATATTCATTTTCATTTTGTGAAATGACAAATGATAGGTAATGGTATATGCTCGTATTTTTCAGCTTTTATTTCTATTCATTTTTGAATTTATTAGACTAGTATACGATAGAGAGATTATTCAGATTATTCAGATGAGTGGAAATATAAGCCAGTTGTAATTTTTAAAAATATTTTATACGATAGATTTCAAAGAAAAGATTATTTATATGTTATAAATAAATATATTAAAAGAAAAGGTTATACCAGAAGATATTAAACTTGTATTTTTCTACAAAATTTATATGGAAAATATTTTTCTTAAAAATATTAGTTGACATGAACAAATGTAACAAATATAATGTTCTTTTTTTTTAAATCGTACAATAATTTACAAATATCACCGTTTAAAATATTTTCTTCTACGAAATAAGAAATTCAATAGGGAAGAAAATGAATGTTAATATAAATTTTTTTCCTATATTAACAAAAGATTAGTTAGATTGAAAATTTTATTTTAAACAAAGATGGAAGATGTTCTGATTGAAAATATACTTTCGTAGAAAGTAAGTTGAATCTAGTTCCTGTAACGAATCCCCAAGGAAATAAGTCCACTGCTTAAAAGGTTACTCAAGTAATTAAACTTTTAATCGGCCAGTCTGCGAAGAGGACGGTTACAGCGTACACGAATTTTTTGTTTT